CAATTAAGGAATTTTATATACATCAACATCAAGAAGGTGAAGGTAACGGATTCAGATTCGCAGGAAGTCTCCTCAGAGTAGAGTATTTCGAATGCGCTGCTTTTGGGGATATTTAAGAGAGTGCTTAGCGGCTTATGAGCCTTAGACGGGATGGCTTTATGCTCGGGTCTCGTATGGTGAGTCTGCATTGAGGAATTGTGGTGTTATAGCAAGAAGGAGTATCAAGTTGAAGGTAAATCGGAAGGAAACCTGGATAGGTGGGATAACTTGATAGTAGACCGGATCGGTATGGTAAGAATATGATTAGTTCCTTGGGTATGAATGGGGTAATGAGTTTCTACATGTATTTCGTGGCAATCCTCTTAGGTACTGATGGCTTACGTAGCTTGGTTGAGTTAGAAGGATTCAGTCCTGACAGGTTTGGTTTGTGCAAAGGGAGCTCGGAAAGATCTTGATGATTTCTACCACGGATTAGAGGTATATTTTTCTACTGGCGTGAAGAGCATGGGATGGGTGATGATTTTATTCTAGATGGGATCAATAGGAAGTTCTTAGCTATTTGAGTACATAGATGTTTGTGGCTCGGAAGGGAGATAAAGTTCTCATGTTATCCTGGGATGGTATAGTATATGTGGTATGTTGTGGAGGATTGAGATTTGCTTGTGTAAGGTTACAGTTTAGTTCTGAGTGGAAGGTCATAAAATTCTTAGGCAGCACGGACAGTTTCAGATAATTAGAGAAATGAGCTTCAGATGATTAGGGGGATGATCTTCAGATGATTAAGGAAATGGTATTGCTAATTGGGGTGATTTGATGAGGGTATACATTTCAGAAAAAGGCAATGTGATTACGTTGATGGTACTTCGGTGGTATTGTGGCGCTCTCTTGTTAGATCGACTGCTGATATTCGAGGTTGCTTGGTGGCAGAGAAGAATTTTAGAGTATATCTCATGGAATTATTGGGTATTAGAGGTATGGTATGTATTCGAATGGCGGGATTGGTATCATGTATGGTGATTCGTGTGCCATATTGAGTTGGAGATTGAGAGTTCTCATATTCAGGGTATGTTGTGGTTGTGGGTCATGTGTATCGGCACTGTTTAGTGACTATCGGGGTTTGGAGACCCGAGTGGATCTTTTGTTGCGCGGCGTGTTAGATTTTGATGTAATATGGGGTATAGACTGGTTGTCCCCGTGTCTTGTTAATCTTGACTATTGCGCTAAGGCGGCGGTGTTGACTATGCCGGGAATACCATGAACTAAGTGGCGAGGTTCGACGAATTATGTTCTAGTAGAGTGGTTTATATTTCGAAGATCCAGCGGATGGCTGGGAAGGATCGTCTTTCTTACTTGGGTTTCGTGATGGATGTCAGTGCAGAGACTCCTACCGTTGATTCAGTTTCAGTGGTGAGGGACTTTTTGGATATGTTTCTTGTGGCCAGGCATGTCGCCGGACGGGGTTGTTGATTTGGTGCCGAGCACTATAGCATATGGTACCGGCGGAGTTAAAGGAGTTGAAGGAACAACTTCAGGAACTCCTTGATAAGGTTTCGTTGGTAGACCTTTATGGATGTATGTTCTACATCGAGACGACTTTGTCAACTTTGAGTTGCTATGGGTGAGGGATGTGTTGATTCGGTTGTTGTTGAGCTATTAGCGTTTTGAGTTGACCTATGAGTTACCTTTCTGTGTTGCGGGGCGTTATGATTTGCTGGTTATAGGCACATGTGGTTCGGTCCCATTAGGATTTTATAGTAAAAGTCGAGCGGGAAGAGTACTGGGTACTGCGCGATTGATGACATATCGGCTATGTCCTTTCGGGATTGTGTAATGCTATGTCAATTGCTTCGCAGTGGTTTTGAGGATTGCTCTGGTCTTAGACATCATATTGAGCATGGTTGTCGATTTTGAGCATAGTGACTTGAGGTGTTTCATATGGACCAGTGTTCGGATGAGGTCGCGCAGTGGAGTAAGCTATGTGGAAGTATGATCCCGCAGGTAAAATTCGTGTGTTCTGTTTCTATGATGTGTAACGGGTTCTTAGCATTGTGTGTGGTGGTGCTGGTGAGCTTGCGGTACAACTCTTTCATTTGAGTCATTTTCACGATTTGAGTATGTTCGAATTGTGGCTTATTGGTGCGCGGATTGCACAAGTTGTGGCTTTAGCCTGGATTGATATGTCATGTCACTAGAGTAGTGTGTTGGATTAGATGAGATTGTTGGGGTCATTAATGAATATGAACAGATTCGATTTCAGCATGTTGGAAGGAAAATATCGAGGTTCGGCTCAGAAATTTGCTATGGTCTTTGCCAAATGAGAAGTGGCTTCATGAATAGTTGATCTGAGAAATGGTTATGGCTTACTGCAAGTTTTATTTATCATTGGCAGTATATGAAAGTATTAGAGTGAGACTTTAGTTGACAAGAGGTTTTCTACCGGTATTTGGTTGTTGTGTGCAGCTGCTGTGATTAGAAATTATCGCTACAAGTGTTTGAGTTATGTGGTATACCATGTAATTGCACCTGAGGTTGCAAGTATAGGTTATACAACTGGTTCGGGCTTATTTAGAGTATAGATGTGAGATGTGGATCTTGTGGATGATTTCAGAAGTGGAAATGTGGTTCTAAAGTTTATGGGCTAGGTTGGATTGTGGAATTTCAGTTACATTGTATTATCGGACCTATATGAGATAGGGTGACATGGGATCACCCCCGGGTATATACATGTAAGGTTATTTAGTGATTGGTTGGCTTTTGGACAACTCTAGGCATGTTCGAGGACGAACGTATGTTTAAGTGGGGGAGGATGTAACGACCCGACCGGTCGTTTTGAGCTTTTACACTTTGCTCGCCAGTTCTTGGGCATGACTTGCCCCGTGTGATGTATTATGACTTATGTAAATTGTTGGTTTTGGTTTTTCGGGTAATCGGGATGAATTTTGAAGAACAGTTCTCAGTTTGAAGCTTGAAATTTGAAAGGTTTGACCAAGTTTTAACTTGTTTGTATATGGTCTCGGATTGAAATTTTAATGATTTGGTTAGATCCGTTAGGTAATTTGGGACTTAGGAGCGTGATCGGAATGCATTTTGGAGGTCCGTGGAAGGTTTAGGCTTGAATTAGCAAAATTGAGATTTTTGCGTTTTCCGGTTGATAGGTGAGATTTTGATATATGGGTCGGAATGGAATTATGGAAGTTGCAGTAGTTCCGTTGTGTCATTTGGGATGTGTGTGTGAAATTTTAGGTCATTCGGACATGGTTTCTTTGGATTTTTTTTATCAAAAGCGTAATTTAGAAGATTTTGGAATTCTTAGGCTTGAATCCGATGTAAATTTGGTATTTTGATGTTGTTTTGAGTGTTCCGAAGGTTGGAAAAAGTTCGAATGATGTTATGGAATATGTTGGCATGTTTGGTTGAGGTCCCGAGGGCCTCGGGTGAGTTTCGGGTGGTTGAGCGGATCTTTTCGGAGTTAGAACGGTTGCAGAAATTGCTATTGGTGTTCAGTTCTGGTGTCCTTCTATGCGATCGTCTGGGTATGATTTGGGGGGCAACATAATTTTGTTCTATGCGATCGCCTTAGAGTAGTCGCGATCGCGTAGGGATCTGAGGCGCGTGAGGTGGAGCAGCTGTTCTTTGCGACCGCGTGAGAAAGTGCACGATCACATAGGTCAGTGGGTTGCAGCTTTGCGATCGCGTGAGAAAGTGTGCGATTGTAGTGAGTAAAATTTGGAGACTGTGAGTTTGTTCTTCGCGATCGCGTGGGTGGCCCCACGATCGCAATGTATTAATGACCTGGGCAGTATTAAATAGCCAATCCGCGACCCTTCTTCATTTTTTCACTATTTTTGAACGGGATTGAAGCTTTTGAGAGGGATTCTTGAGGAAAAGAAAGGGTAATCTCTTAGAGGTAAGATTCTTGACTTCATAACTCGTTTATATGTGATTAAATTCCTAATTAGTGGTGAAATTTCTGGAAAAATCAATGCAAAATGGGTAATTAGGGCTTGAGATTAAGAGACATTTGAGTGGGGATTTGAATGGGTTATTGAGGTCGGATTTTGATGAAATTGATATGGGTAGACTCGTGTGTGGATGAGGATTCCAATGATATGATTTTTATCTGATTTAGAGACATGGGCCCGGGGGTCGGGTTTAAGCAATTTCGGGATTTTTAATGTAAATTGAATATTTTCGAGTGGGCTTTGTCCCCTTAGCATATTTTAATGGTTATGTTCTGATTGTTGCTAGATTTGGAGCATCCGGAGGTCGATTCATGAGGGCAAAGGCATCGCGGGCTAGAGTTTGGACCGGATCAAGGTGAGTAGTGATTGTAAATGATGTCGTGAGGGTATGAAACCTCAGATTGCACATCGTTGTGCTATATTAAGGTGACGCACACGCTTGATGACGAGCGTGGGGTCGTGCACTTATCACGGCCTACTCCGCACTACTATTGAGTAGCGAGAGAGGGTCAGAGCAGCTTTTGCCCGATTTAGGGTCAGAATCGATTTCCACAGAAAGCTAGAATTTGGAATCGAGTATCTATCTAGTGTAGGATTGCGTATGTGTTCCAAATTACACTTCTAATCATTTTTTGGGTTTTTGATTAACTTCTACTTTTATAAATTTACAATTGTAAATGAAACTAGATTAAGCTAAGAGTTAAACTAATGAGGGTTGTTTAAATGGTTTAAAGGCACTAGGGTAGTGATTTTCGCCTAAGTGGTCAATTGACGGGTAATTGAATTTAAGACATGATCACTACAAGAAAAATCCTTATTAGGGATCAGCATTTAGCAACAAATTTTAAATATTGGTCCCTAAAAGTATACTTATAGGATGAGATTTTTTTTTTATCTTTGATATGAAATTTTATACTACCAAACCTATTCTGATCTGTAAAAAAAATTAATATCCGGTCTCTAATATTGGATTTTAGCGGGATAGGGGACGCGGGAACTGACCAAAATGTAAAGTAAAAAAAAGAAAGAAAAGGAAATTAATCACAGTATCCCTCCAAATTTTCTCTCACCCTAAAATCTCTCAGATACACGTACTTTCAGCTTAAAACCCCTAGAGACGTGGCCGCTAACTAATAGATCCTTCAAAATTCAGAAGGTAAAATTCGATCGTACCTAAAATCCCTAGAGATGGCGAAGCTAAAATTCAGAAGGTAAAAAATTAAACTCAGAAAGGTTGCAAAGAGCGAGACGACGAAGCTAAAATCCCTAGAGACGGCCGCTAACTCCTTCAAAATTCTGAAGGTAAAAAACTCAGAAAGGTTGCAAAGAGTGAGGCGCCACTTTGTCGTCATCGTTGAGAGCTCTATTCAGAACATACTCTGTTTAATTTCTTCTTTGGAGGCCTTAATCTAAAGTACTTTACACAAATTATACTATTGGATTATCCGCCTAAACAAGAGTAAGTTTAATTTCTTTCTCTTTGATCTGTTCTGTTTCTTTAAATTTCTTCTTCGTGCTTTTTCCCCCATTGAATCAGAAATCTGTTCTGTTTATTTGGTTTTGTTTTATTTACTTTACTAATTGTTTTAGTTCGGTGGGTGGAAAGAAACGGAAAAAGACGATCAATTTAAGTGTTTATGGAAATAATTTTATAGTTTAAGTAGTACTACAATATCAAAAGCATTAGAAGGATCTTCAATAATTGCACCGTAAGTTAATGAAACTGCATTTTGTGAATAAAAGGACCTCTTTTAACTCAAAGATTATCTGATTTCAGTAAGATATCTTTTTCTATCATGAAGAAAAACATATAAGATGTCAGCTGAATAGTAAACTTTTTGGCAGAATGTTGACTTTGTTGAACCTTTTTATCGTGCTTTTGCTCAGTTAGTGTTTTCATAGCAAGAAAGTACAAACATGTCACAATCATATCTTTATATAAGTGGAGAATATAGGAATTTGCTAATTAGAATGTTGAGTTTTATGGAAATTTGTTTGCTTGAAGTTCTGAGAAAATTAAGTTTGGCCTATTCGAGAAATCTTTGTCCAGTTGAAGAACAAAGTAACATTATCGTGGACGAGACTCCAAGTTTGCAGTGGATTCTCTGACTAATTAAATAATTTTTTATTTAATTGATGATACATCTTTCATTGAATTCCATTAATCTATTTTTCTTTCCTTTTTAGTTCTGAATTATGTTAAGAAGAAAATGCAAGTATTTTTAAATACAAAAAAAAGAGCCCCCACTTTCTGAATAAATTGAAGCAAGTGATCAAGAATTCACATGGGAGATGAGTCAGATCTCCTCTGTAATTCAAATCCAGGAGCTGCTATACATACATTGTTCTTCTAATAAATTTTCAGAAAGCACAGTTGATTAGTCGCTATTAACTTCCTATAGCTAGGGTTCTTCAGTTTTTTGTTTCTTTATTTGTTTTCTGCAACTTAGAATTCTATATATGGAGAGTCAAAAATTCGGGTTCTATATTTCGAAATCTCTCTTACTAATTGACCTTTTAGGTTTTCTTTTAGGTTCTATTGTTTATTATATAATATCAAAAGCATAGAATGATAGTTATTGTATCATTTTTTTTTATTTAAGGAAGACAAGATAAAAAATTAGTGATTTAATTTTAGAGTGTCTTATGTGTTTTAATTTCTCATTTTGTTGAGCAATTGTGAGTTATATATTATGCATATCAACTTGTAGTTTATTTTATTCTTGTAAAATCGTAAGAAGTTTAGTCATAAAGATGATTCTGACAAGTGTAATAACAAGTAATGTTACCTCAGTTGCATTCCGGTCAAAGGGTTTCCTTGGAAACAAGCCTGCTGAACTTTGGTAGGATCTCAAGCTCCTTACGGTAGTGCACCACCTGTGACTTTTACTGAGAAATGTTCAGATGCTTTAGATCTTCATAACTCAAATGAAGATTCACCCTGCTGGAAAGGTGCTCCTACTTTTCGTATTTCTCTTTGGGACTCTGAGTATGATCCCTGTTCCTGCAAAAAGAAAAAAACCAGGTTCGTTTAAATCCTGATTGGTGTGGCTCTAGTAGCTGAGTGTCTCCCAGTCATGGCTTCTAGTTTTGTGACCCCACACTGTGAAGATGGTGTCCAGTATCCCAAAGAGAAGCAGGGTAACTGGTACTGTTTGAATCTACATATTGTCTGTTCTGCTGATGTAGCTACAACTGGTGCACTAGTTGTTGATGTTGTTGCTGCTGCTAGTGCACCAGGGGATTCCTTTTAAGAAACAGAAGTTTTCGAATGAAGAGGGTGGAGTTCTAAGTGATTCACAGACTCTTCTTTCGGCTGAAATCAACAACAGTTCTACCTTAATCCTGCGATATGCATCAATAACGCGAATCAATGTGAAATTCAGTATGATGGTGCTCTGTTTCTTTTCTTAGTTTTGTGTGGCTGCTGAACATGTCGCTGCGAAGTCTAGGGGCTCTTTATTTATTTGTGTTCTTTAAAAAAAAAAGATTACTACTAGGTTTTTTCTCTATGTTTTCCTTGTAGTTCAGCAAGTTCCAGCAACATGCGTCATTTTACTTTAATTTGCATAATGTATGATCATGTTCATCTTTCACTGTCCTATTTGCCAAATAATCAGCTACCTTGTTGCTTTCTCTGTAGCAGTGTACAAAAAACAGAATGTCCAAGTACCTGGAGTCTATTATTTTTATATTGGATATCAATCTATGCTTGATGTATTGCAGGATCAATTTGAGAGTGTTGACATGGATATCCATCGCGATCATATTTTGGGATGGATGAAAGAGTTATGGAACAAATGGAGAGGACAATTGCATGCAAAATATGTGAAGGGTAAGCCAATCCAAGAGGCTCTTAAGAATGTGCCCAAGGGGGTAGACAAGAAACAATGTGAGTGATTGGTAAAGGAACATTTTTCTACAGAAAGTTTTCAGGTTTGACATAATAACTAATTATGTAATTTTATTTTATACCGTGATCTTTTAATTGATAATTTATTTGTAGCATTTGAATTTAATGTTGTCACTCAAATATAGGCGAGAAGTAACAGGAATGCAGCAAATAGAACTAAGTTGAAGATGCTTCATCATATTGGTAGCAAGCCAATTAGAGAGATTATTTATCAAAAGGTGTTTTCATCAAATCTATTTTTGCTTAATATTGACGAGACGTTATTTGACATATTTACTTTTATGTAAAGGGCGGAAAAGATGGCAAACCACCAGATTTGGCAGCTATTTTTTTCAAGACTCGCAAGAAGAATAACACGCTTGTTGATCCTGAAACAATCGAGAAACATGTGCGTTTGGTTAATTGAACATGTTCTTTACTTTTAATTATTATTGGATCTGACAAAAATTTCTCTAATACTTTGTAGGCTCAAATCCAGGAATTGGTGCAGTCTGAACCGTTACTTCCTAACATAGAGATTGTAGAGAAATGCTTTGGACCTCAAAGTCGTAGTCATGTATTTGGCTTTGGGGGTGGATTAAAGGCAAAAGATTTGAAAGGTGGAACTGCCTCAAAAACTGAATTATTGGCTAAGATACGTTCAACTGAAGATGAAAACCAGTCTTTGAAGGATCGTTTGTCTAACTTGGAAATTGAGATGAGAGAACTGAGGCAAGTAAAAGAATTAGTATTAGCGCAACAAACTAATTTCCAGCCTCCACTTCAAGAGAATGACTATTTGGATCCTTAATGATACCAAGTGAGTAACAACTTACCTGAAAGCTCAATTTATTTTGTTGATTTAAGTGTGTGTTATTATATATCATTTGCGGAATTTATTCTTCTGTCGATTACGAATTTGCTGGTTGTGCATAGTTATTAAACGTATTACTGGTTTCTTAATGTTCACTAGTGATTGAAGTTCGATAACCCATACTGGAGTCGATAACCCATACTGGTAGTTAAAGGTGAACTTGTTTAATATTGGATGAACTCAAAATAGGCAATAAAGTCTGCTACTGTAATAACATAAAATAATGTTCAGTTATTTCCATGCAAGGCAATGTGTCTAAGGACTCACATTTATGTTTTCTAGCCTAAAATTTTGCACTACAACATATCTTTGTTTTCTGACTCTATTCTAGTTGACAGTATTCGATTTCTCAAATAACCATTTTAGTCCAGAAATTTTAAGCAAGTTATGGCTTACGAAGGAGTTGAGGCAGTGATTTTGAAAGGAGGAGAGCAGTAGAAAATGACTTTTTCCTAGGGGGCTCAAGGGCAATTCATTTTGTTCTTGTAAATATTAGGTAGCTTTGGAGGATGTTAAGTTTTTGAGCACTTCGACTCCACAATTCATCATAAAATTAAATTTCATCCTTTTCTTGACGTCATGAAACTTTTTTTTTTCTAGATATACTTGAACTTTTTTGTTCCCACCCAAATGCCCTTGTAATGTATCTAATGCACATGGTGAAGAAAGCAGATAAACCATAACAAACTCCCCAATCGCTAAAAACTCCATTTAACAAAATTAGGACATTACGGACACATAGAGCTTTGTAAAAATCAAAGGAAACTATAATTTATCCTTAATTTGTGAGAGAAAACGAAAAGAAGAAAGCCACTCACATCAAATTCAGAAGCTGAATGTTATCATTACTTGTCCAGTTATTCGAAAAATTGACATCCAGTCTACTTGGAACTTTGGAAATGGCATCTGGTTCACCTGCAATTGAATTAACAGACTATAAAGCCACACAGATAACATTGCAATATATGGCAGGGTGGTTCACCTGGAGATTAAACTACAGATTGACGATAAGTAAAACTACATCATATATGTGGTGTCCACCTTCTCTCTCAAGTCTACAAACCAAGTCCCATGCTACTAGGGTGGCTCTGTTAATAACTGTCTTACCAGCCCATAAGAAATTTCCATCCTTCAAAACACTTCAGTTCACATAAGTCTACCACACAATGAGGCTCCATATTGGCACTGAAGATGTTGGATTTATTTGTATTAGTGTTCATACAATATGCATTTGAAAAGGTTCTCAGCTCTCTCAGCATTAGCATCAGAGACTGAAAATCTCCTTTGTTGGCTGAGTTGTCTAATGTGACATCTTTTAGTAGCTGATTTCAGATACTGTTGGCTGAGTTCACTTCCTAAATTACTTGTCTAATGTGACATCTTTTAGTATGCCTGCTTGCCTTACTGCTACTTGAGAGATTTGCATTCAGACATTCTTTTCTTGTATGCCTAATCTTTTCTCTTTAATTTAGTAGTGCTAAGCTAAAATTTTTAGCCTTTAGGTTCTCAAGCTTGCTTTTTGCATACTAGTGATTGAGCTAAGTTACTTTTAACTGTTCCATTGATTCACTGATTCCTCTTGGGTTTTAGAGGCCCCACTAATTTAATTGCAATTAAAGCTTGCCGTCAGCTTCTAGAGCGTTGTAGAGCTCGTTGCAAATTGATTATGCAATGACTGTTCTTAACTTCTTCCCCAAATCCCTTTTTTCTAATGGTGGAGAATGATGTGAGATCTTGTTGGACTGTATTGTCTTCTGAATTTTGTTCGCATGTAGGCCACTGCAAAAACTGATGAACACTGCGTGTTCCTCACCGTCCTCTTTAACACTCTAATGTTTAATGATTATAATTAATCTCTGTGTCTGCTGAAAAATAAGGAAATGATACTGTTACTATCTTTTTATCTGTCATGGAGCTGTCATTTCCACTCAGCTTTGTGAAAATAGAGAATCTTATCAATTGCTATAATCCAGGCAACGATACACCTACTAAAATTACTGTTCTTTTTGTCAATTCTCATACCTACTGTGATAACATTCCGTCTACATTATTATATATAGTTTTTCTAATTGAAATTTCTTATTTCTTCTACAGGTTTTGGATATTGAAGTTTACTAGAAGTAGATTTTTGACGACATACAGATTAGCCATCATTTTGCTGGGAATTTCAAGAAAATTTTACATTACAATCGAGGGATATTAGTGATATGTAATTTTTTGCTAAATGTTTATGAACACTATTGTGACTAGCTTACATCATTGATGTACGGTGCAACTAACTGATGTTGATTATTTTTGGTATTATTTTATGAAAGCAACATCATCTATATATTAATATTCCCGATTTCTAGTTGCAAATTGAATGTGATTTAGGGACTTGTAACTTGTTTCTTTAGGAACTAGACCGGTAGTCCTTAAATCTTTTTTAGGAGTAGAAAATTTGATTGCTAAATCTGTAGCTTTGTAGCGCTGACCTATTCGACATTAGGGACCAGATTTAAACTTCTCCGAAAAGATATAACGACCAGCTTCTAACTGGTCGTGAAACGTTTTAACGACGATATTTAAACTAGTCACGAAAATATTTTAAGGACCAGGAATTTAGTCGCTAAAACATAAAAATAAGCACCAGAAACATGGTCCTTAAAAACCTTTTAGGGGCTAGTTTTAATCTGGTCGCGAAACAGTTTTAGCGACCAGCACTGTATCTTGTCCTTAATGACCTTTAGCGGCGGAAGCTATAAGGACCAAATTATTTGGTCGCTATTAACCATTTGGGACCAATTTCTAACTTTTAGGGACCATTTTTCCCTTTGCTGTTGAGCATTTTTCTTGTAGTGGATTGACATAATTTGGGGAGTATGATATAACCGTTGCACGATATTACCCACTCTACACCTCTCGGTGGTTCGAGTGATTTTGCCCGAATTGGCTTTCTCAAGACCAATTGTGTATGCAAATTTGCACAAGCAACCAAGGTTCAAGTCAGGTATTACTCTCTCGAGGTTTAACCCTTTAATTGGGGCTATCAATCACTTGAGTATGCCCCAATTCCTTGTTGGACCAATTTCAGAGACTTAGACTCTCTTTCTCAAGAAGAGCCCAAGTCAACTGAAAACAAACTAGTATTTGCAACCACTAATTCAACAATTAAACATGAAATTAGTCCAAATATCAAACACCCATAGTCAATCTAGCCCTAAAATACAAGACCCATCAATTACCCTCAATCCTAGCTTATGGGTCTAGCTACTCATAATTAAAGAAGGAAAACAAGAAATAGATGAAGAACAACTCATATTAATCAATTATTAAGATAAACAACAAGATTCAATGTTGAAATATAGTTAAAATACCCAAAATAGCTAAATACTTCGAACCCAAGAGTGCAGCTACAACTAAAAACTATCTGATACCCAAAAAATGGGAAAAGAAGCTATTTATATTAAGCTGAAAAATTTGGATAAAAATACCCCTGCGGGGTTAGTACGGACCGCACAAAATGATGTGCGGCCGCACTAGGCTCTGAACTTGAAAATCTGACTCTCTGAACTCGGGCACTGCGGACCGCAGAGAATGGACTCCGGCCGCGGAGGCTTCTAGTGCAGTCCACATAAAATGGAGCGCGGACAGCATTGGCTTGACACTTAGAATTTGTAGCTCTCTGATTCTTCTCTCTGCGGACCACACTAAAACGAGTGCGGCCACGTTGATCTGAGTGCGGACCAAACAAATCCTAGTGCGGTCGCATAGCCTTTGTGCCTGAATGTCATGCTCTCTGAACTGCACAGTGCGGACCGCACAGAATGTAGTGCGGACGCACTGGCCTTGTTTTGCCTGAGCTTTGACTTGCCTTGGTACTTGTGCAAGTTTCACTCCTTTTGAGCTGATCTTTGACATCTTGTCACTTTGTTGATTAAACCTGCAATCAAGCACAACTTGTGAGCCTTTTGAGACTATTTTGTACAAATTCCTAATCAAAACATAAGCAAGAAGGAGTATAAAAAGGTGTCTAAATCCCTAGTTATCAACTCCCCCAAACTTAAGCTTTTGCTTGTCCTCAAGCAAACAAAATAAGACCCACCCCTTAAGAGAATATCCAAGAAAATTTCAGCTGTCCTAAAGTGACCTCATCTAGCATCAATTGGGACTAACAATTGCCCTCAATACAAATGAATCATTAACAACTTTTTCTCTTTGAAACACAATGGATTAAGTGTGACACAAGAGCATCAAGAGTTGACTCAACACATCAAAGAACTCTTGCTATTACTTTGGTCATTGTGGAACCCAAACTCATACATCCTCAACTCTCCCTAAGCAAACCTCACCTTTAGAATAGTGGCACTCAGAACGAGGTCAATGGAAGTTCACTCATCTCTCTCAAGAAAAAGTCACAAGTCCGACTCTAAGTACCATTTGCTTGCCCCTTATGTAAGTCACCAGTAATGTAAGCTTCATTCAACTCAAGATCATATAGGGCTTTTGTGGAGTCATGGTGAAGGCTTTTGGTTCAGGGTAGGAGATGTTTGGTCTAAGTAAGTTCCATCTTCCCTTAAGCACTTTTTTTTTTCATTTTGGCACACATTCACTTGACTCTTTGCATCACTTCACTTCTTTCTAAGGGGCTAGAGAGACACGTGTCACTCTTTCTTATACATTTTAAACCTTTTCTCCTTTTTCAACTTTCCACACCTTTCATTCTTTGCTTTTCTTGAATCCTTTTTTATTCTCTTTCATATTGAACATTCTTTTTGTCTTTTTTGCTTTTATTTCTTTTTCATTGCCTTTCCTTTTCTCCTTTACCACTTTGTTGCAATCCTCGTCTCTCCCCCCAAACTTATACTTTTGCCATGTGCTAAGGAAAGATCGGGTGTCAAGAGAGGGTATCTTTTAGAACGGGTATAGGCTTGTATCTTTGGTAAAAGATCTTATCATGTCTCAAAGGAAAGCTTATCTTTGGTAGGTTATGGAAGTGTTCAAGCTATCATTTGGACCAAGGAGAGCTTATAATCATGTCTCAAGTCAAAATTCACTTAGGATTTCACCTCAACAAACATTCAGGGCACGTTCTAGACTAATGGCTTAGCACTTGAACTTGCAATGCAATTACTTACCACACAAATTATGAGATTGCTAAAGACACAGAGTCGGGGGCCCACAACGACCTTAGATAAGATTTGAGCACACAATGGTCCCGAAAAACCACTTGATGATTATCGGTCAATACAAGAGTCTCAAGGCCACGACTTTCACCATCCTAAACACAACAATTTATTTTTGATATAAGATCAAAGGCAATTGTGCTAGGCCCAAGTGAAGTTTTGCTTGAGGCACCCTTAACTACTAACTGCTAAAAACAAAAAGAAAAACGGACTCAAACCCTTAAGAAGGTTGTCACGTCATCCATCCTTGGGAAGAGCCAACCGGTTCACACAACACTCCACCTTTGGAAAGAACCGTGGCATTAAGAAAACCAAAGGCTTATTGCAAACTTTCAAAAACAAGAAGCTACGAATCATAAATAAGAAGCTATGAGTGAAAAGTTTGCGGAAAATAAAATGAATATATACAAGAGGGGATTTGTCGAATATACAATAAATGGGATGAATATATACAATGTAATATAACTTTATATACAGACCCAAAGTAAAATAAAAGTGCAATAAATCTAACAAAATGTTAAAATTATATACAAACCAAAGATGAAAAGATAAAGAAAGCATAAAAAGTATGAAATATATATATAATCATCTGAATGAATAACAAGTAGGGCCTACCCCCTCAAATGAAAGTTGTCATTGTCCCCAATGACAACTAAACCAAATAAAGCACCAAAAAGAGAAAAGGAAAAAGGATATAGTACTCCCTATGGCTTGTCTGTCTGCATGGGCTCCAGAGTGGTCCCAGCGTCCTTACTGTGCTCGGGAACCTCAGACTGGTTCCTTGTGGCCTGCTGCTGTGCTGCTGGGACCTAGGCCTGGACAGGCTCTTGTGGTGCATCCTGTGGATGATTGGAGGAGGCCTACGGTGGGTCGGCCAACTGGATGACTGCATATCCGCTATGGGAATCATCCTCTTTCTCTTGGGCGGCCTCTGTGACTACTCCGACTGGGGATAAACTGCTGGTACTAGGTCCTGAGGTAGTAAATCTAAAGGCAGATGATCTGCCTTCAGTCTGTTAACATCAGCTCTCAGCTCCTTCACGAACTCCTTGGAGGCCCATGTCTTCCTCAGCTTCTTGTGCTCCCTAGCAAGCTCCTTGAGAGCCTTGCTATGTGAATCAACCACATCAGTACGCACCTTCTGAGTGTCGAGGATTTTCTTTTGGTTGTCTAGTATCTTCTTGAGAGCATCCTCTATCGACTGGGGGACCTGTGGAGGTGGAGGTGCCGACTGAGCCTCTACCATGGTAGTGAGGGTGGATAACTTGGATGACGCAGTCTGCATCCAGTTGTTGATACTGAGAAGGGCCTGGCTCAGTCGGTGGGTAGTCACTGGATATGCACGGGAGGAAGGTATCTTCGGGTCTGCTGAGGTGGATGGACCAGGAAGGATAGCAGTGGAAGTAGAGGCAGGCTCAGCAGGAGTCGCTACCACAACTGGTTTTTCAGACTGGCCAGTTGGAGCAGTAGCTATACCCCTGAAATTCTTGCTCTTGGGGTTATCATCCCTCTGCATGCTGTACCAAGAAAATGGGGCCTTCGCTTTGACCTCGATATCGAAGGGCCTCTTTTCAACTTTTAGGTCTCAGAAGTACATAGTGAGTAAACTGGGGAACGGGAAGTTTCTGTCATTCTCAGCACCCACAATTGTAATTACCCGCGACATCACATTTCCCACATTGATTGGGTACCCTGCCATAATTGAAGCTACCAACACTGCCCGGTGAAGAGGGAGGGAGTTGTCATGAGTCGTGGGGTCCAACCTGCTACATACAAATGTTTCCCACCCCCTTGCCTTGAAGTTTAAACTACGTCTCAGAATCTTGACTCCAGCAGTCAACCAGTCGGGGGTGGTACATGGGATTGTCAGGTACTGTGCCAGCCAAGGATGAACCTCCTCACCTAGTTCCATCTTTGCCATGTATATGGTCTCATCCTCCTCATCAAAGCCAAGGTAATCGTTGATTGTTTTCCCATTAAACAACACCTTCAAGTTTCGCACCTTGGTCACCTTAGTACCCTTTTTGATGTGGGCAACGTTGGTGTAAAATTCTTTGACCAAGTGCTTATTTGCATCCACACACTCCCCTAAAAAGTACTCCCATCCAACTCTCTCCATAAGTTTCCTTCTCACATTGGGGTTGTGAGGTAGCAAGTCACTTTCTACAAACTCCTCTCC